AAAGCTGCCAGAGCCTTCTCACCGAGGAAGCAGAGAGAATATTTTAAATACTCAATGGTGTTTTTTGCTTAAAGCACATAGTGGTCATAAAAACCACTTGAACAAGGAAAAATTAATGGGAGGAAATGACTTGAATGTAGCAAATCTTAAAAAATGTTTTACAAGGGTTGTGGAAAAAAATAAATTTATTATGTTGAAGGATGGCAATATAGGAAAGTGCACCTTTTTTTTGAGGTACTGGGGCTTGAACCCAGGGCCTCACATATGCTAAGCATGTGCTCTACTACTGAGCTACATTCCCTGCCCAGAAAAATCAATTTTTATACAAAAATAACTCTTCAACAAGTGGTTTTTTACTTTCCAAAAGGTTCACAGAACAATTCCAATGAATAGCACTTTCCTTTCCTTCCTCCCTCCCTCTCTCCTTCCTTCCTTCCTTCCTTCCTTCCTTCCTTCCTTCCTTCCTTCCTTCCTTCCTTCCTTCCATTTATTTACTGTGTTCCAGGCTCTGTTAAGGAAGCCATGATGAACAAGATAGATATCCTTCCTCCCCTGTGATCTCTGACTGGCTGGAAAGACAGCCTGCAGTCAGATCTTTACAGTGGAGAAGCCACTGACAGAGGGAACTAGAAAGCTCTTCTACTCTAGGGGTCAGAAAATGTTTTCTGAAAGAAGCGATGTTCCAGGTAGAGCGAGCCCAAGTGCAGGTTCTGCTGGTTTGGGCAGGATGAGCCGGATCTCCCAGGAGTCTCCCCTGGCAGTTCCTGGAGTCCGGAGAACCAGCCCACGATGGAGGGAGCTGAGCCCTTCCAGGAAAGAAAGGGCAGCCAGCGAGCCCACAGAGGTCAGCCGGAGCTAGGGGGCAGGCAAGGTCTTAAAGACCGTGGTGGCTTTGATTCTAATTTCATAGTATATGCAAATATCTCTCCCTGGGGAGCAGGGAGAGTTGAGGGTTGTAGGCAGGAAGTAAAATAATTAGCTTGACTTTTTTTTTTTTTTAAAGCTGCCACAGGCTGTAAGGACAACGGGCTGACAAGAGCAGGAATGGGGCCAGGGAGCCCCCAGTGGATTCAGTGAGACCAGTCAGGAGCCCATTGTTCTGGTCAAGGCAAGAGATGATGATGGTTAAGGAAAGAAAGGGCAGTTGGAGGACAAGCCAAATACTTATATTTTATATTTTTTTATTTGTTCTTTTGAGACAGGGTTTTGCTATGTAGTTCATTCAGGCTGGCCTTGAACTCACTACATAGCACAGGCTGGCCTCAAACTCAAATAGGTGATCCTCCTGCCTCAGCCTTCTGAGTGTAGAGATTACAGGCATTGTACCACCAGGTCTGGCTTGGACAAGCCAAAATAGGTGGGGTGACTCATCTAGGGACTTAGACAAAGCCCAGAGAACAAGGGCTCTGGCTGGCCACCTCCCACCCAGGATAACTTGATAATTAAATTTAATTGCATTCACTGATGAAATAGACAGCATCATTTCCTGTAGAAAGATAAGGAAGGTCTAGGCTATGCACACCAATAACTGCTACCCATAAAACTCTGTGTGCTTTAAACGGGGGGAGGGCATCAATTTTCAGGCCTCCTCACAGCCCTTTATAGCAGCTATTGGAAACCCCATTTCACATATCAGCATACAGAAATTTGAAGAGAGGTTAAGAGATTTGCTCAAGGTCAGTACGTAGTGACTGGCAGAGTTGGAGTTGAAATGGCTAACTGTGACCTGTCCTGGGTCAGGTGACAAGGCTCAGGAAACCTGGGAGCACACTGGCTCTGACTGAAGACCTACTGCCGTCTCAGCCCCAGGTGGGATGAGCCAGCTCTGCCCACCCAGGATCCTCCTCCTATTCCCAGGAGTCATGTAAACTGTCTTGTAATCTCACTTTCGTGCACTCAAACCATAAAAACACAGTTGGCATTTTTCTCCCAGTGGCTGGGGACCTTCTACCCTGGGTAGACTTGACTTGTGGATGAGAGGCCACAGCTCTGGGAAGGAACAAGCCTAGGAGGTTGAATTCTGTCCCAGAAAAAATATGTCTCACGTGTTCACAGCAATTGGTCAAGGGTGGCACTAGGGAGCTGGGACAACCCTCCCAGTAAAGAGAAACCTGTGGGAAAAGAACTGAGGGTGAAGCAATGCTGCTGGTCCCAGGAGCTGCAGTTATTGCAGAGGACAGTGACAGGCTACACAGACCAGAGATGGAAGCTGACCAAGTAAAAACCACAAATGTATTATCTTGTGGTTGTACAAGTCACAAGTTTGAAATGGATCTCACTAAGCAAAGTCAAGGTGATAGTAGGCTGGTTCCTTTAGGAAACTCTGGGAGAGCCTGCTTCCTTGCTTTAACAGCATCTACAGGCTGCCTGCATTCCTTAGTTCATGGCTCCTTCCTCCATCTTTGCTTTCTTCTCCTTCTTCTCCTTCTTTTTTGGTACTGGGAATCGAACTCAGGACCTTGTGCTTGCTAAGCAGGCGCTTGTGCCACTGAGCTATATCCTCAGCCTGTTCATCCATGTTTGAACCTCACAGAGCAATGTCTTCAAATCTCTCTGACCTGTTTTCATCATCACATGTCCTTCTGCTCTGACAGGCTTCCTTAGAAGAATGAGAGCCCTTGTGAATCCTTTGAGCCATTCAGATAATCTGGGATAATCTCCTTAGTGGAGTCCTTAATGCCATCTCATCTGCAAAATCTCTTTCAACCTATACAGTAACATTCACAGGTTCTAGGAATTAGGACATGGACATCTTCTGGGGGGCTATTATTCAGACTACCATCTACTTTAACAAATTAAGAGAAAGAAAGATAAGCTTGGCAACTGGTAGGAGAATAGCCTGGAAGTAGGCAGGCTGATGTTAGGGAGACCAGAAAGGAAGATGCCCCAGGGTCAGCAAAGAAGATGCTGGTGGTCAGGCTGGGGTGGAGGGGAAGAATGGACACAAGATATGTTTCAGAGGGAGGGAAGCCTGGACTGATCTGGGGACTATCTGGGTTAGGTGGGCAAGAACTGGAGGAGAGACATGGGAAGATGCCTGAATATACAGATGGACTGATAGGGTACATGGAAGAGCCTTTCGGAGAACCCAAGGGGAAGAGCAAATTTGTGGCAAGGACAAAGAGGACATGTAGGAATATGTATCTAAGACACCTTTGGGACATCCAGGACAGGTTCCCAGGAGAAAGGTGGATGCAGGGTCCAGAAAGCTGTGATTCCAGGATCCCTCTCTTTCCTATTGGCATACACATGCTCATCTCCACCTTGATTTCTGTGTCACCATCTCTGACCCTAACTTTTCCACTTCCAGATAAGAAGTGAGGAATCATCTGGTGTTTCTGAAGTCACAGTAACATTGCTATTTACCCATTAACTTTGAGTTTCTATCCTTTTTGAAAACAAGAATTTAAATTATAGGGATGTTAAGCTCCTTACATAAGGGCCCATAAACTGGGTGTGGTGGCACATGCCTATAATCCCAGCACTCGGGAGGCTGAGGCAGAAAGATTGTTACGAGTTGGAGGCCAGTCTGGGCTACAAAGTGAGCTCAAGGCCAGCCTGAACTGCATAGCGAGACCCTTTCACAGAAAGATAAAAAAAAAAGTCATAAGGGCCCATAACTGGCAAATGACAGAGCAGGAAGTTATATCCTTCTTTCTTTCCTTCCTTCCTTCCTTCCTTCCTTCCTTCCTTCCTTCCTTCCTTCCTTCCTTCTTCTCTCTCTCTCTTCTTTTCTGCATGCTTATGACTTACATATTTTAGAGATGGGGTGTTCTCTATCCATGTCTATTCTGACAAATAGCCAACAAGCTACTCACCATTTATGGTGTTGGAGATATGGAGAGAATAGCAACAGAAGACAACTGGGATTTTCTTTTTTTTGGAGATAATTTTTTTTTTGAGACAGGGTCTTGCTATGTAGTTTAGGCTGGCCTTGTACTCACTATGTAGCTCAGGCTGGCCTCAAACTCGTGGTGATCCTATTGCCCCAGCCTGAGATTTCAGGCATGCACCACCATGCTCCGGTTTTGACATCTTGCTATGTAGCCCAGGTTGGCTTTGAATTTGATATCTTCCTGCTTTAGCCTCCTGAGTGCTGGGATTATAGGTCTGCACCACTAAAGCGTTCTTTTAGCTTTCTTCCTGTCTTTTTGAGGAAAAAAAAAAAAAAAACCTGAACTCATCTATTGTGAATGTTCCCAAGGAAAAGGAGTGGTGGAGGTGGTCAGGGAAAATCCAGCTCAGCAGGGAGTCTTGTAGGGCCTGCTTTCTGTCTACTGGCAGCCCCAGGATGGGCCCACAGAGAAAATCCTGTGAGTTGGAGTAATGACTGTGGCTTCAGTACCAGAGAGGACTCATAACTGGAGGTTTCTTTTTTTTTTTTTTCTTTTCTTTTGTATGGAGAATATGGTTCCTTTGGAATGACCTAGGAAAAAGGACTGCAGTGGATGCCAAAATTGAATTACCTATCAGTCTGGAAGATGGAGGGCTCCAGAAGGATTTATCCTTGATTTAAGGGCAATAAAAAAATGAGATATTTTGTGCTACCTATATTAAGCTCTTATGCATCACACTTTATATTCTAGGGTGCCTGAACTTTTAGTTCTGTAATTTGTTTGTCTAGATCTATTGCTTCCTCAACCTGTAATATCGTTAAAGGGCAGAAATCTAGTAGATGTTCCCTTGCTATGTCCAGTGCCTAGCACCTAAGCTCATTAAAGAGTGTAGGCTGAATGGGGTCTTCCTGAATGGTGGTCTCAGAGGAGAGAATGGAAGGAGGGCACGTTTGGGACAAGTCAAGATTTCAGGAAGACAAGTTGTGACACGGAGGTGGAGGAAAGCAGGCTTTTTCGAAGAAAGGTTATAAAACAATGGGCCACTAGTAAGCTGGGGCGCGTGGGGGAAACGTGGGGGTAGTGGTGGGGTTCCTAGCAAGCCCCGCCTTGAGCCACAGTAGCTGTGCGAAGTGACGCGACGCGGTTTGGCCACTGTGGGGCGCCGTAGCTCGCGCTGTTGCCAGGGGAACGGGCCCTGTGCCTGGCGAGGCCCAGCCCGCCTCGGCCTGGCCCGGTCGTTCAGCCATCCCGCCCGACCTGGAGCGGGGACTCCTTTGCCCAACCTCCAACCGGGATGGGGCTCCGCTCCGGGGCGCGCCGCCTCCCGGTCCCGGGGAACCTCTCTGCCATGACGGTGTGAAGCGCGTCTGCCCCGGGGAGGGTGGCCAGCCAGGCGCGGGGCCGAACCACTAGCTGACCTTGGTAGGGCCAGCCCGGCACGGCCGCCGCCACGCGCAGGTGAGGAGCCGCTGCAGCGTTCTGGAGCCCGGGCTGAGCTGTCGGGTCGCGCGGCTGCCGCCGCCTCATCCGGCTCTGGGAGCACCTCGGCCCGCTCCAAGAGCCCGGCAGAGCGCGGGGCTTCCTTGAGCGTCCATCAGCTTCACAGGTCTGCGCTAAGCGCCCGGGGTGCCAGGCGCCGCCATCAGAGCGCTGAGAGCAGACGCGGCGGAGCTCCGGAGCCCGGAGAGCCCCGAGGAGGGTGTGGGAAGCAGGCGCCAGACACATGACTAGAGTGATTTCAGGTTGAGTCAAGTGCTCTGGTGCTGAGACGGAGCGGATGGCCAGGGAGGGTCTGACTTAAAAAGGTGACTTTTAAACTAAAGACCCAGAGATTGGGAAGAAGCCACAGTGTGTAGGGGGAAAGGTGTTTCTGGGAGAGGGAAAAGCAAATAAATACAAAGGTCTGGAGACAGCAGAGTGCTAGGGCAGAACAGAAAGTGAGGAGAGCCCTGAACTCCGTGGTGGGCGTTGCAGTTTTATTCTAGCAGGTCGAAGAACTCCTTGAGGAGTCTTGATGAATTTCAGGTTTTGAAAGCTCATCTCATTCTGGTTGCTGTGGGCAAGTCAGTTGATGGCCATCTTGGTTCTGCCAGTGTAGCAGGGCCTCCTGGAACTGCTTAGTCTCTCTGAGCCTCTGTGCCCTCACCTGGGCAAGGAGGATATCGTTCCTCATCTAGCTTAGGAGAGAGAAGTGAGGGGCCATCCACATCCGAGACCAACGATTAGAGAGAGAGACCTATGAAAACAGTTTGAAATGATAGGACCTACCTCAGAGTACTGTGAGGGTAGAATTAAGTGAATTCCATGGAAGCACTTAAAGCAGTGCCTGACCCAGAATAAGTGCCCTCTGAATGCTAATGATGGCTATTATCATGGAAACACTGTAGGAGAGCGATGATAGAGGCTTGGAGGAGGGTGATGGCAGCGGTGGATGGTAAGAAGTGCCTCACTTCCTTTGCTCAAGGAAAGCTAGATTCAGATAAGGATAAGAGGTGGTCCCTGCTTTTGTGGAACTGGTGGTTGGCTGTGGGAGACTGGTCTGTAAACAGATAATCACCGCAAGATGCATTAAAAACAACAGTGGTGCTTAATTAGCCAGGTTTTCCCCTTTTGTTTTTGTTTTTCTTACTTTGTTCTGTCACAACTTTGTTCTTACTGTTTCTTTGTGGGTGTTCCCCAGGGCTGGCTCCTGCAATCATATGAGTTGATTTCTCTTTAAAATCAACAGCCCTTGCCTCCCTTCATTGGCCTTGTTTCTGTTCCTTCTTCCCCCTCCTTCTTGTCCTTTTTCCTTGAATTAACTTGGATCCCAAACAGTTTGTAGTGGTTGCTGCAGGAGCATGGCGCAGAAATGCTTGCACTCCATGTCAACTCAGGAACTATTGAAGTTTCAAGCTTTTCTTACCACAGCAACCGACTTTGGCATATTGTTTATGAGAAGAAAGTACAAGCCTAGCCACATCTGAGACCACTGAGGAGAGGTCTTTGAGAGCAGATTGAAGTTCCAGTTTATTTTCTGGGAATTATGTCATGTACATCCTTATAGCCACTTCTTAGAATTTTAAGACCAGACATTTTTCTGGCACCTGTGGGGAATTTTAATAAAGTACTTGCCTCTAAAAGTATTTTATAAGCAACTATTTTTGCACTGTAAAACAATGTGCTCCATGAAGCATTTTCTCTGCAGCTCCCCTTTATGTGGTTAAAACTAGGCATCTGTTAGATCTCAGTAAAACTTATTTCTGAGGCAGATCCTGGGAAAAAACTGAAAACGCCTTTAGAAATACCTGCAGGAACTCTCTCACATGGAATCCATAAATTCTCCAAGAGAAAGAAAGATGCTTGGGAACAAAACTTTCCTGCAGTGTGTACCTCCCCTCTGTGTTCTGGGGGTGATGGGGCCCTGAGCTGGCTCTTGGCCAAGAACTAGAATAGGGTCCTGCCTAGCCTTCTGTTATGCTGTCTGGGGGCCTAATTCTAGCTTTGACAAGCTCCCTAACAGTGCTGGGTTTTGTAGCTCTTCCTCACACTCTCCAGATGAGCAACTCAGAATTGCTTTCAAGAGTAAGAAAGCACTTAACTAAAACCAAGCATTCTTGTTACATGGTTGTTAAGCAGGAATGCCTGGTTTGTCTGGCCTTGTACAGGGCGCTGAATCACACCAATGCATTTGGTCCTCATGGCACAATAAGGTTAGGAAGGCAAGAGGTGATACCCCTAAAATTATTTATTTATTTATTTATTTTGGTACGTGAATCAAACTCAGGACCTTGCCCTTGCCAGGCAGGCGCTTGTGCCACTGAGCTATATCCCCGCCTCCCTCAAATTATTTATTATTTGATATATACTTGTGTGTAGCGGGGGTGTAGTGTTGGGGATCAAACCCAGGGCTTCACAGTTGCCAAGCCTGCACTATACATTGACCTACATCCCCAGCTCACTTAAAAAAAAAGAAAGCCGTAAATACTCATGATTAAAATTTCACAAAGTACCAAAGAGTACACAGTAAAAGCAAATCTCTACCTCACCCCTCAGCCCTTGTGCTACTAGATCTTCCCAGAGGCTGCCACTGTGTTTAGTTTTTTGAATTTTCTTCCCAAGAGAATCTGTGCCTATGAGAATGTAGTTGTCTGTCTATCTCTAAGGTTTTTATTCATTCAGTAGCTCTCTTTACAACTGTACATCTTGCTTGTTCACTTTGTGTACCAAAGATTGTTTTGTGTAGTGACACATGGCTGTCTGGCTGCTACTGTGGCTACTAAATCAAGAAGGACTACAAGTTCAAGGCAAGCTGGGCAACTTACTGAGACCTTGTCTCAAAATAAAAAAATAAAAAGGAAGGCGGGCATGGTGGTGTGTGCCTGCAGTCAAGTACTTTGGCAGGCTGAGGTAGAAGGATTGCAAGAACCTAGCTTGGGCAACTTAATGACTTAGTGAGACCTTGTCTCAAAATTAACAACAAAAACAACAAAAAACAACTCATTGTGAAGGCTCTGAATTGAATCTCTAGTACCATAAAATAAAGTAAAATAATATATAAAAATGTTAAAAGGGCTAAGAAGAGTAGCTCAGTGGTAGAGTGCTAGCCTAGCATGTGTGAAGCCCTGGGTTTAAGTCCTAGTATTATTTTATTTTTTGTTTTTTTTTTCTGGTACCAGGAATCGAACTCACAACCTCACGCTTGCCAGGCAGGCACTGTGCCACTGAGCTAAATCCCCAGCCCCCTTAAGTTGTCGTATTAAAAAAAATTTTTTCCCTTGCTGTTGGTATTGCAGAGCAACTTGTGCCGTAGTGTGTTTTTTGTCTTTTTGAGGCAGGGTCCCACTATGCAGTTCATGCTGGCCTTGAGCTCACTTTGTAGCTGAGGCTGGCCTCGAACTCGCAACAATTCTTGTGCCTCAGTCTCCCGAGTGCTGGGATTATAAGTGTGCACCACCACGCCCGGTGCTATAGTGTGTTTATATTTGTTTTTGCCCTTTATTATTACAAACAACATTGCAATGAAACTTTGTGTATTTTGCAAAGCTACCTCTATCTCTATCTCTGCATCTATCTCTATGTGATAAATACCTAGAAATGTGGCATGTTAGAACCAAAAGGTATATGCTGGGCGTGGTGGCGCATGCCTGTAATCCCAGCACTCAGGAGGCTGAGGCACGAGGATTGTTGTGAGTTCGAGGCCAGCCTCAGCTACAAAGTGAGCTCAAGTCCAGCATGAACTGCGTAGCAAGACCCTGTCTCAAAAAGACCAAAAAAAAAAAAAAAAAAAAAGAAAGAAAGAACCAAAGGGTATATATGTTCTCCAGTTTGGCAGACATTGCCAGGTTGCCTTCCAGGTAACTTTTTTTGGCAGATGAGTAAAGCAGAGAACCAAAGAGGTAGATCTATGAAGTTTCTCCCCGGGTTTCTCGATCTATAAACATTGGTGCAAAAAGTACAAAGAGGCTGGGTCTGCAGGCTTAACCCTCTTTCGTGGCTCCAATCTGTCCTCCATTGGTGGTTTAAGTCTCTGGGCCCTCCAAGCTCCTATCCAGCCCTGTCACCTCTTCTGACCCCAGAGTCCTACTCTTCCAGTTCCTTAGCCTCACCTGGGCAACCCTCTTTAGTAGTTGAATGATTCTGAAGTCCTCAGGCATCTTACAGGAATCCAGGGCTGCCTATAGGCCCTACAAAGCTGGGACTTTAAACCTTAGCTTATTTCCTTTGATGGTGAAACACATGCATTTTAGAACATTCCTACCTTACTGGTTGATTGATGGATTGATGGATTGATTGATTGATTAAAATGGTATCTTGCTATGTTGCCCAGCCTGGCCTCTAACTTCTGGGTTTAAGTGATCTTCTGCCTCAGCCTCCTGAGTAGCTAAGACTACAAGTGCACATCACTGTACATGGCTGCTATTTTTTGAGGGGGGGCGTGGTGGAACAGAGGTGTCAGGAGGGAGGTGGATCATTCATGTAACTATTCTGTTATTCAAGGTGAAAACTTGAAATCTAAAGATTTCCTTCATTTAATTTAAGCATACAAATTAAAGTAGGTTAACCTTATTTACTTATTTTCCACTACTGGAGATTGAATCCAGAGGCTTCACACTGAACTACATCCCAGCCCTTTTTATTTTGAGACAGGGTCTTGCTAAGTCACTAAGTTACCTAGGCTGTGCTGGAACTTGTGATTCTCCTGCAACTGCCTACCAGAGTGCTGGGATTACATGTGTGTACCACCATGGTCAGCTTATCTGACCTTATTTTGAAAGTATCACTTAAGGCTTTTAGCAAATGAATGTTAAAGGGAATAGATTATTATCCTGTCAATGGCCTTTACCTTGTCAGGGACAAACCGGGTGAGGGTGTCTGCGTAACCTCTCAAGCCTTCCTCAGAAGCCAGGCAGGTCTTTGACTTACCAGTGTTGTAACACTCTACGGGTTCCTCTTGCTCCTGTCTTCCCCCTTTCCTCACCAGCCTAGCTCTCTATGGTTTCTTTTCATGTTTTGCTTTGTTTTTTGAAAAGCAGTCTTGATATGTTACCTCAGCTGGTCTTGAACTCATGGGCTTAAAGTGGTCCTTTTGCCTCAGCCTCCTGAGTAGCTGGGGCTACAGATGTGTGTCACTGCACCCAGCTATGTGGTTTGTTCTTTGGAAGCAGAGAGTACAGGAAAAATATTTTCCCAAGGCCCATCACCTCTCAGCCTATCAAAGATGCAGCTGGAGAAACTGAGTGGGCAGCAGGGAGTTTGTGGGCTTGACCTTCATCTGACCAAGAGCATAGACTGCCAGGCTGCCACCTTCCTGGGCCAGCCTGCTGTGGTATCCCTCTGCCCCACTGCTATGCCCTTTCCCTTTTTGCCCATGCCCTTCCCACTGTGACCAGAAAGCTCTTGAAAACACCTCCCACTCTCCTGCTTTAGACTTCCTTGACTCCCTGTAGCTCCTTCAGCAGTGCCCAAGCACACTCACCTGGCCCCCTGGGCCCTGTGTGACCTCAGCCCTGCAGCTTCTTAGGGATCATCTCTCACTGGGTCCTGCTCTGCCTCCTCCAGTCTCAGTCTCTACTCTGTGTTCTTCTTCTTTTTTTTTTTTTTTTTTTTTTGTCTTTTTGAGACAGGGTCTCTCTATGCAGTTCAGGCTGGCCTTGAGCTCACTTTGTAGCCCAGGCTCGTCTTGAACTCGCAACGATCCTCCTGCCTCAGCTTCCTGAGTGCTGGGATTACAGGTGTGCACCACCACGCCTGGCTCTTCCCTGTTTTCTGATACTGAACTGCTGCCCCTTCCAAGTACTGCCAGAATGCCTGTGCACTGGCTGCCTGCTGTCGCTGTGTGTCTGTCGGGCTTGGTGTCTGCCCCTGTCTGTGCTTATACCTTCAGTGTACCATAGGGTGGGACCCGGTGAACACTGCCTGGCCAACGTCTGAGTGTACCAGCTGGCATGTGATTCGGGGACAGAGCCACACATCTTTCAATCTGGTCTCCCAGAGAAGTGCTGAGAAGGGAGGGACAGTCAGAGAAGTCCCTGGGTTTGGTGACAGTGCTGGGTCTCATCCATGGGCCTTGGGCCCCATCTTGGATTCTCTCCGACCTCCCACCCTTTTAATCAAAATCTTTGGACCAAAAGAATTTGTGGCCACCAACTCTGTGAGAGAAAATGTCATCAGTTAAGAGTTGGCCAGCCAGGCGTCATGGTACATGCCTGTAATCCTGGCACTTGGGAAGCTGAGGCGGGAGGATTGCTGTGAGTTCAAGGCCAGCCTGAACTACATAGCAAGACCCTATCAAAGAAAAAAAAAAAGGCTGGCCTAAGCTCTCAGGACAGATAGCATGTTTCTGGCCAGCTTGATATCTATTGGGGTGCTGCTGCTCCTTCAAGGGTGTTCTGCCCAACAATGTCATCCTTATGTTCAAAGTCTCAGACGAGTAGTATGTCTCTGGGCCAGTGGTATCCTGGCCTCAGATAGTGACTCCTGCCTCAGGAGTCCAGTGCAGCAGTAATGGGGGTGCCTGCAGCCACCGCTGGGTGGTGGGGACATACCAGCCACAGACCTCTTTTTCTCTTTGGAAGCTCACCCAAGGAACAGGGCTGTTCAGGTGCAGGGATGACAAAGGGAAAGCGAGGCTGGGGATCTAAATTCATAGGCTCCCTTCAGAGTAGTTGCCCTGGTGATAGTGGCCCTGGAGAGCAATGTACAGGACAAGATATTTGCCCCCTACTAGAACCAGCCAGCTCAGGTTTATTCAGAGGACTTGACTGATGACCTTTGACTTTCCACAAAATAGAGGCAAAGGTTTGCTCCTCTGGGGACATTCTAAAGAAAGCTACACCAGCTTTTGGCCAGTCTCGTCACTTTTGGAGGTGACAAAGTTAGAATGACAATTCAGTAGCCTACCAGCTGTCTTGGTGTGTTCCTTGGGGCCACTGACTGAAGGAAACAGCTTGGACAATAAACCTTGTAGATGTCAGGTGCGGTAGCCATAGTCTGGAGATGTGAAGGCACCAGAGGGCTGTTCGAGGGTAATTATAATGTCTGTCTACTCTTAGCAAGCAGCTCTGTGTCAGAGATGGCTTCAGTGTCAGTGGTCTGCATGCCACACTAGGGGCCATCTCCACCCTCATTTTTCAGGTGAGAAAACTCAGGCCTCCCAGCTAGTAAGGGCTGAGCCAAGAGCCTAAACTAGGTGCGTTTTCTTCAAAACTGGGGCTCTTTTTTTTTTTTTTGTCTTTTTGAGACAAGGCCTTGCTATACAGTTCAGGCTGGCCTTGAGCTCACTTTGTAGCCCAGGCTGATCTTGAACTTGCTGCCTCAACCTCCCGAGTGCTGGGATTACAGGTGTGCACCACTGTGCCTGGCTCTTTTTTTCTTGTGTAGTTTCTTTTCTTTCTTGGTCACGTACTTGTCTGTCTATCTATCTATCTCTCTCTCTCTCTAACGATCTATCATCTGTCTATTCCAGGACCTCCGCACTGAACTATATCCCTAGCCTTCTTTATTTTAAGACAGGGTCTCACTAACTCACTAAGTTGCTCAGGTTAAGTTTGAATTTGTAGTCCTCCTGGCTTAGTCTCTCAGGATGCTGTGCTGGAATTATAGATGTGTGCCACCACACCCAGCTCTTGTGTGGCTTCTTTTTTTTTTTTTTTTTTTTTTTTGCTCTGTATTGCAGGCTGGTTTTGAACTCGCTTATGTAGCCCAGGCCGGCCTTGAACTCACGGCGATCCTCCTGCCTCAGCCTCCCAAGTACAGGGATTACATGCATGCATCACCACACCCGGCCTGTGTGGTTTCTTATTGAAGCCAGGGTAAGTGACCAGGGGATTCCACTTGAGTCTCAGAGAAAACTAAGGTGACTCCATTTAGTTTTGAATGAGACTACCCAGAGGTGACTTCAGATACTGCTAAGCTTGGTCTGTGGGAGGCTCTGAGCCTCAGGGGGGCCGAAGGGCAGAGTGGCTATGAATGATGACCCTGTGGAATAGGGGCTGCGAGGGCTGAAGGCAGAGCAGCATGGGCCAGGTGGTTGCAGACGGCCCAGGGTTTCACACCATTTACCATACCCACATTTCCTTTTATTTCAGATGCTTTCAAGTCAGCAAACGCTTACTGAACATCTTTTAAGTACAAGGTATAGTTCTGGGTGCATGGGGTAAATGAATCACGGGACATTTGCTGTCTTTGAGTGGAGCTGATATGGCAGACACACATAGGGATGGCACCGTGACAGTCGCAGCCAGAACCGAGGGCAAGGGGCCTTGGCTGTGCTTGGGCTGTCAGGGAAGCTTCCTGGATAACAAGGCATTTACAGTGGGCTTGAAGAGCAAGTAGCACTTTGCTGGGTTGAGGAGTAAGGAGGTTCCAGGCAGATGTACTGATGTGGGGTCTGCCATATCTTTTTTTTGATTCTTAGCTGGAAAGGAGAGTCCAGCTGCCAGGGTTTTGTCCCCAGGTCCAGGCCTTCCCTCCAGGAGCTCAGAGCTGGCCTATCTCTCCAGTGTGGCACTGTGTTCTTGGGCCCTACTCCCCTTTTGGACCCTAAGCTACTGGGGTTGGGGCCCTTCCTCCTGTGAGGACAGGCCCATGCTTTCCTGGCCAAGGGAATCCTTGGCCACCAGGCCAGCTGTTGGGCTGAAGGAGGCAGGGTGGATGTGGGGGGTGGCTGCCATCTGTGGTCTCACTCTGGCCATGTCCTGGCCTTTCCCTGAGCTCACTCATGTAAGTCAAAGGATATTAGCCCACCGTTCTGTGTAAATCTGTACAGCAGGCCCAGATTCACTCAGAGAAACATGGCCATTCCTGCTTCTGGCAGGAACCAAAGAGGGACCCTCCCTACCCCTTGTGTGGTGGCTTCTTCCCAGCCAAGAAGCCTCAGGCAGCCCTTCCGAGACACAGGGGAGAGGTCTGGGGTCCCCAGTGCTAAAGGGATGATGTGTCTGCTGATGGACCGAGTTCCCTTCTCAGCACCCCCACTCCGCATTTCCCTTAGCAGAGGATAAGGGGGCCTGTCTGACACTTGTATTTGGACCTCGGGATGGAGGTGACTAATCCTAACAGAATCAGCATGTGTTCTCATCGTTCTGGCTCCAGCATGATATTGTTACCAGATGAGAACATGTCTTATTGAGTTTCACTTTGATGGCTCTGGAGACAGAGCACTTTGAGTAACAGGCAGCCACACTGTGTCCTGAATAAACCCTGGACCCTCCTACCTTGTCCTGGCCAGGCTGGAGCTGGAGCTTGTTCTGGGCCTCTGGGACAGTTTTCCCCCCACTGCCTGTCTCCATTGGGCTGGAGCCCCAGGTCCCCTGCAGCGTAGCTGGGAGGTAGCTTCCTATGCCAGTGCCCTTACTGTTAAAACCTGGCTGCAGGCTTGGGTCCCTGGGCTGCCCCCTGGGCCTTCTCAGGCTAATGCTTTCTACTCTTTCTCCCTCTGGAGATGAACATCTGCAACAAGCCCTCCAACAAGACGGCCCCTGAAAAGAGCGTGTGGACAGCGCCCGTGCAGGCCAGTGGAACCTCCCCGGAGCTGCAGGGCCAGCGGTCCCGCCGGAATGGGTGGAGCTGGCCCCCTCACCCGCTTCAGATTGTGGCCTGGCTGCTGTACCTCTTCTTCGCGGTGATCGGCTTTGGGGTCCTTGTTCCCCTCCTGCCTCACCACTGGGTGCCTGCTGGCTATGCTGTATCCTTGGGAAAGTGGGCCCATGCATGGAAGACGGGGCAGTGGATGGATGGAAGGTGGAGGCCTGAAGCTGGGCTCAGGGATTCGGGCTGGGGCAGAGCAAGGCCAGTTCAGTCTTCCTGTCCTCGCCTGCAGTTCCCACCTGACCCCTCCTCTGATAGGGCAAGGGACAGCTCTAAAGTGCCTTGGATCTTATCAGCTGAGGTGCTGCAAGAGCCGTCAGAGAAGAGAGCATTAAAGCTTTAAAGCTTCTTCATGCAGATCGTGTCCAGTGCTAAACAAATGTCAAACTAGGGAGGAATTATTCTATTTGTGAAATAATTTGTCATGGTATAATCCTTTTACATAGTATGTTTCCTGGTACATTTAAGATGTGGTTTTATTTATAGACAGATTATTATGGTGTGCCCAGAAGTGTTCACAAGCTGACTGATCTTGTAAAGACCCTTAGGGTAAGGGTAATTGTGACAAGAGATGGCAGAGTTGCCCTGGGAGCCCCTGGGAACAGTGACAAGTGTGGACCTTACTGAGCTTAGTGGTGTGACTGCCCCAACCCTGCCTATAGCCCCCAGGAAGCAGAAGACATGGCTGCAAGGCTGGGGCCCCCGGTACAGCAAGCCTCTCTGTGCCCTGTTGAGTTCCTATGAGAGCATCCTACCGTGTGCTCTGTGGAGAGCACGGCTGGGCAAAGGACAGAGGCCTGAGGCAGGGCATAGTCAGCAGCTCATTGTGGTCCCAGTCAGCCCCTCAGGGCTGTGGATGGCTGAGCAGCTTCTCCAGCTCTTTGGTCTCTGCTTCTGCTCTCTAAGGGCACGGGCTCTGCTTGCTTGCAGGGGTGTATTTGGGCAGAGCGCCAGAGGCATAGGCTATTAATGTGAGCATGCTTTCTTGGGAGACCACAGGGCCTGGACTGCTGAGTGACACGGGTAGGTAAATGGAGACGATTAAGAGAAGATTCTCATTCACCAACCACGTCCTTGGGGGCTTCCTGGTTCACTAGAAGCCAGGACTGGCCATCAGCTCTATGAATGGAAAACTAGACTTTCTCTGAGGAGACCAGTAGGGCCTAGGTAATTAAGTGGAATGGTTCATGGGACATTCTTCCTGTGGTCCGGAGTTTATATATCCTTCACTTGGGATTGCTTGGATTTCTGCCACCAGAGTACCTGGGAAATCACATTAATAATTGTGTGGCTTAGAGCCAGAGCAAATAACAGTAAACAAAAGAAACTGGCATTTATCGAGCACTTATGTGTGCCAGGTGCTGTGTCGGCCACTTTATAAGGATTATCTCATTTGATTCGTATAGTAATACTGTAAGGGATGTATTTCTCTGTTTTACTAATGGAGAAACTAGGGCTCAGAGAGGATGAGTGACTTCCTGAGCTGCCCCATGAGGCCAGAAGTGCTGTTCAGGTGGCCTGACTGAGGAAGAGGGATGGTTTGCAGGTTTGGTCTTCCCCACATTTCACTGTCCATCTACCTTGGCCCGTGCAGAAGAACTTGGAGCTGCCTCTCTGACCAGGGCTATGTGGTTCTTCCTTCCATCCATGTCTCCTTCTTCCTGCAGGCTTTCTCAGGGCCGCTGAGGAATGAGGTGAAGTAGGGATGTGTACAAAGTACTCACTATGGCCTGGAACTGGCCTGGGTCTGGGATGCAAAGATGAGCTCTGGGTGCTCAGTGGCCAGTGGGAGGAAAGGCAGGTAGGTTGGACATGGTGTTCCCAACACATGATCAGTATGGGGCAGGGGCCCAGGCAGCAGACTGTGGGAACAGAAGGGCATTTTTCTGTGTCTGGAAGGATACCTGCTACTCATAGTTCCCCTCTCCCCTGTGCCCAGCCTCTCCCCGCGTCTTCTTGGCCCCTCCCCTTTTCTCCATTGCTGCTGTCCACCCAGTCCTGAAACCCTATTGATTTTACCACCTTAATAATTACTGAATCCCCCCACCCCCACCCCCAACCATCTGCCTCTCTGGCCTAGGTGATCATTCAGTTTCTGAGGAAGTCTCCCCTGTGCACCCTCACTCCATCCACCGGGATCCCTGCAGGCAGAGTGCTCATTCAAAAAACAAATCTGAAGCTGGTGACACACATCTATAAGTATAATCCCAGCACTGGGGAGAACTGGGAGGCAGGAGAGATAGGGGGCCCAAGGCCAGTCTGGGCTACACTGCAATACCATATCTCCAAAAACAAAACAACCAACCAACTAGCCAACCAACAACAAAAACAAACCTGAGAGGTTCCGCTGGCTCAAGACTGTCCAGTGGGCTCTTCCCACCTTAAGGGGTGAGGTTGAGGCTCCTTGTATGGTCAAGTCTCTCTAAATTCTGGGCGCTGCCTGTCTCCCCAGCTTCCTTTTACATTATTTCCTTTGTTCTCATCTGTTTTGGCAACACTGGTCTCTGCCTGGAGACTCCTTATCTCTCCCTCCCCTCAACACCCAGCTGAGTCAGAGGTCAAGAACTGGAAACCCATGAGTTAATGTGGTCTGTAGATATTATGAAAATTGAGGGGGCCTGGCATGATGGCATGCCTGTAATCTGGGCACTCTAGGAGACAGGCAAGGGGATCACAAATTCAAGCCCAGCTTAGGCAATTTAGCAATTTAGACCTTACTAAAAAAAAAAAAAAAAAAAAAAAAAAAAAATAGAGACAAAGAAAGGAAAAGATGTGGGGATGTAGCTTAGCATGAAGGGGCTGATTTCAATCCCTAGTACTGAAAAAAAATTTGAGGGATAATTAACATACAGGATGCACAGATCTATGGATCTATTTTGAAAATTGTTTCACTAGCATGTAAACATTGAGAGATTTCATGTAAGAGGATTCTTTTTTTGGTACTTGGAATCGAACTCAGGACCTGTGCTTGCCAAACAGGCGCTGTGCCACTGAGCTACATCCCCTGAGATTTTATATAAAACCTAGATTTCTATTTCCTTTTGAAAACCAGAATTCGGTAACATGGACCCTTATTCTTGCATGGCAGCCATGAGATGCGACCGCACATTCAGCCATCCCTCTGGCTGGCATCTCACATGTTCCCAGTCATGATGGTACCCCGCCAGGCCCCCTCTCCTCCGCTCGTTACTTGTCAGGGCGCTGTTGTCTGTTCCTGTCCGCATCTCGGCTGTGATGATGCCTCCTCAGGGAAGCCTTCCAGACCCCTTCAGACCAGATGAGGTCACTCAGTTACAAAATCATCACTCTGCTGGGCTTTCTTCATTGTCGTTAACTGTTATTTGATTAATATTTCTGTATTCCACCAATTTGTGGGCTCCTCAGGGCCGGGAACCATATCTGTGTAGCCCCTGACATACCCCCCCAGTGCCCGGCACAAAGACTTAAAGTAAACAATTAAGTGAATGAACTGGGGGTAGGGGAAGAAGTTGGAGTGGGCAGGAAGGTAAATGTTTGCCCACACTGACTGAGTGTTTAAGAGAGACCAGAATGGTGAGCTGGAGTAGCTGGAAGTACTGCAGAGCTTTGAAAGGGACTCAGTAAATGCACAAAAGGCCTCCACCCTTAGCTGAGGCATGAACTCCACAAGGAGACCTGGAGAGCCATCAAGAGCCACTGTAGGAATTTAAGCAGGACGGGGTCTTAAGCTTTTAAAAGCTCATTCAGTAACTGTGTGGGAGCAGACTCAAGGGAACACAGACAGGGGAGGTAGAGTCAGGAGGCTCTTATCTTGAGTGACCCAGGCAAAAAGTGAAGATATAACCTGTAGCAGTGGCTACAGGAATCGAGAGGTCAGTGATGGCCGTGGTTTGTCTCTTTTTGGCTATACAACACAATAGGGCGGGACCTGGCTCATGCAGACCTGTGGAGGGATTTGGCTGATGGGAGGGGGAGGAAAGGAGGTGATGAGTCAAGGATGGAGGAGGAGTGACGAGTGGAGCTTGAATAATGAAGGGATGCTGTCTGCCTGGCTAGCACAAGGATGGATGGATGATGCTGGGTAGATGGAGGAAGGGAAGGAGAGTAGGTGCCTGCCTGGGTGAATTTTCTTTCTCTCGTTCTTTTTTTTTTTTTTTTTTTTTTTGTCTTTTTGAGCCAGGGTCTTGCTATCCGGTTCAGGCTGGCCTTGAGCTCACTTTGTAGCCCAGGGTGGTCTCAAACTCTCAATGATCCTCCTGCCTCAGCCTCCTAAGTGCTGGGATTATAGGTGTGTGCCACCACGCTCAGCCCCTGCATGAATTTTCAAACAGTCAGACTTTGCATCAAGTTGTCAGCAACTCACTCATTTCTGTACTGACTCAGTCCCTGAGCAATTAGGTCCTGAAGAGCTGTGTTTCAGCTCCAGGGCCGTGTGGCCCCTGCTCAGGCCGTCCCAGACACTCAGCTCAGCACACCAACTGCCCAAGTCCAGGTTGGGGAGGTAGATGAGCTTGTCTGCAAGTGATTTTCCATTTGGCTAGAGCTGCTGAAGGGGCTGGCTGCTTCCCTCTAGAGCTGACTTCCTGTGAAAGCAAGATAAACAAGCTCATAACGTAGAACTTCAGGTCTGTGACCTTAGGAGATGTCTTTCAGTCCCATTTCATCATCTAGAACTGAAACCAGAAACTGGCCCGAGGTCAGAGTGGCCAGGGCCTGTACCAAGCCTGAAGTATTGAAGCCAAGGTCCTGTGGTTCGACTTATTGGGGGCAACAGTAAACAGTGATGGCTTGTGAACTCCATCACAGATGGCCCCGATCGTCTTCCATCTGGGATACAGGGGTCTGCTGAAAGCTGATGAGGAGGCTCATGGGGGCTGGGGAGAGAAGGTGGCACAGGCAGTCCTTCCACAAAAGGAGTCTTGGAGGTAAGATGTTCTTTAGCCACAGCAAGCAGGCGGGGCTCCCAGCCACCAGTTGGAGTGAGTCTTTAACTTGCTGGGCCAGTGCATGGGCGCCATCTTTGTTGGCCACCTCGTGGTGCACTTGACCGCCGTCTCCATTGATCCGGCAGATGCCAATGTTCGGGACAAGAGCTATTCAGGGCCTCTGCCCATATTCAACCGCAGCCAGCATGCACATGTCATTGAAGACCTGCACTGCAACCTGTGCGACGTGGACGTGTGAGTGCATGTGTGAGAGTGTGAGCGCACGGGTAAATGGGCACGAGTGTGCCTGGGGGTCCGCCAGCAGAGTTCAGGGTAGAGAAGGACATGCCAGGGCTCCACAGTCATCTCAATACCTTAGAACGCTCATGTTGTACACAGTTGGGGGTCTTTATGGAGTCAGGAGAACTGATCTCTTAAGAAGGTGAGGAGGCGATGGGAAATAGATGAACAGCATTTCTAGCAGTTCAAGTAGGAAACATTTGGCACTGCCACAGACACTGCTAAGTGGTTAACTGCCACTGACACCCCACGTCTCTCACAAGCACGCAGAGCGGGTGGGTGGGGGTAAATGTGTGGGCAGTCTGTGCCGAGTACTATGCACAGCCCTCTGCCAGGCGGGCAGCAGGGCTCTCCCTTTACAGAGCCCACACCCCAGAAAGCTGGGAGGTGGCCCAACGTCACACAGCTCAGCTACTGAGTGGCAGGGCCAGGGTTACCGTCCTGGCTGCCTGGCTTGTGAGGAGATGCTTGGTTATCCTTGGTTACCCGAGAGAAGGCGGAGGTCCAAGGAGGCAGAGTGACTTGCCCCAGGGCACATGGCTAGTGAGGAGTCAGAGGGTGGAGGACTCCAGGGCTCTCTAGGTCTCCTTCTTGCCCTCTGGAGCATCCCCATCTCCTAGCTTCTGTGGGGAATGAGGGAAGGACTGTCACCAAGGACACTCCTTCCGCAAGAGCCAGAAAGCCCACAGCATTAAGGTGTGCTGAGGACCAGGGCACTAGGCCATGCTACCATTCCCTAGGCTCCAGTCAGCACATGATTCTGAGGAGCTGCTCTGGCAGTTGCTCTCCATTGCAGGGCTCTGGCTATTCTGGGGCAGGGGTCGTGGCCCACTTGTCCACACTCCTTTGCACTTTCCCTGATGCTTCTTGGGAGTGGAAGACTCCCACTGGTAGCCTACGGTGCCATACCTGGGAATGGAAAGCCTCTCCTCAGCTGACCCCTTGTGGTGAGCTGCCTTAGTGGCTCCGGAGATGACAGCTTGATTCTCTCTGGGCTCCTTTCTGCTAGCCCACACAGACTGAGGCTTTCTGGAAGAATGCCAGGGAAACTGACTCTAAAACAGAGCTTTCATGAAGATGCACATTTCTGCTCCCGGCCTCATATTTCCATCTTCTGACCTGGCTCAGGGGACCTTGGTTAGAAAGGAATACCCTTTTCCGTTTTATACGGTTGTCACATAGGTGCACAGTTCCAGAACAGGACCCCACAATATTCCCCTACCCCCCCCTTTTCCTGCGTCCCCCAGCAGTGCTGAAACGCCGCCGCCTCCAGGGGCCCCTCCCCTCAGTTCCGCCAGAGGGCGCGCGCGCTCCTCTTTGGTGCGGTGCGCTGCGCTGTCGGGCGGCGATGGGTACTGGGCTCCAGGCTTGGCCCTGATGTTGTTACACAGCCTATTGCGCTCCGCGCTTGGGCTGCGCGGCTGCCAAGGCCGAGATGGGCTGGCCGACCGCACGGTGCCTTCCGCCCCGCAGGAGCGCACGCTCCAAGCACTGCAGCGCCTGCAACAAGTGTGTGTGCGGCTTTGACCACCACTGCAAGTGGCTCAACAACTGCGTGGGCGAGAGGAACTACCGGTGAGCGAGGGCCAGGGGTGGGCCCTGGGAATGTGGGGATGTGCGGTCTGCCTGTACGATGGGGCGGGGGTGAGTACTTAGAGGATCTGGGCGCTGTATGCTGCTCTGAGAGGGTGATCTACCTGGGGTGCCGGCTGAGTGTGGGGTTAGAGTCTTCCACCGTGCTAGTCCAGAGAAAGGTGTGCAACCTGATGGGTGACCACCCGTCTTCAGTTGTGCCCTGTGACTTCGGTTTCAAAAGAGTTGGGGCTGTGGGGTCGGTGCAGGCTGCTTATTCCAGCCATGGGCCCTTCTGAGCTCCTGGCTCTTATTAAACTGGAGCTCCTGGGTGCTGACAGCTGCCCATCGCTGGGCCAGGCTCTTTCTACACAGTGTGGCATCTGCTCTACTGGGTGTCCTGCTCCTGGTGCTGGTGGCCACTTATGTCTTTGTAGAGTTCTTTGTCAACCCTATGCGGCTGCGCACCAACCAACACTTTGAAGGTCAGTGAGTTCCAGGTCCTCTTCCCTCGCCTGGCCTCTCTGGTCACTGGTCCCAGCCCTGGCTGAGCACAGTCTGCCTGTGCCTTTCAGTCCTGAAGAATCACACAGATGCGTGGTTCGTGTTCTTGCCCGCTGCCCCTGTGGAGACCCAGGCTCCTGCCATCCTGGCCCTGGCTGCTCTACTCATCCTTCTGGGCCTGCTCTCCACAGCGCTGCTCGGCCACCTGCTGTGCTTCCACATTTATCTCAGTAAGTGCTTCCTCCCCGACTGCCTTGCAGGGAATAGGGGTCCCTAGACGGCAGGGAGGCACCTCATCAGGCTGTGGGGCCATGAAACCATCCCCTTTATCAGTGCTGGTTCTTGGGTGCCTGATCTCATCCCATGGCTTTGTACATATGGAAACACAGAGGTTTCCTTTGGGGAGCTAGGTGCCGTCCTTCCGCTTCTGAGCTCCAAGATTCCCTCGCTCCCGCTGAGCCCTCTCCTCCCCTCTACCAGTGTGGCACAAGCTCACCACCTATGAGTACATCGTGCAGCACCGCCCACCACAGGAGGCAAAGGGGGCTCAAAGGGAGCTCGAGTCATGTCCCACCAAGATGCGGCCCATTCAGGTATTCAGGTGGCCCAGAGGACGGAGGGGTGGGAGATGGGCCTGGTGTGCGAGTGGAGGGGGTGGGCTGTGCAGACAAAGCAAATGAAGAGACAAGGCAAGAGGAGCAAGCCTGGAATAGCAGTGGCGTAGGGCATGCTAGGAAGCAGGGGACATGCCGCCAACACAGCCAGGGGGAGCCTTGCATTTCTGCAGTCTCGCGTATGTCCCTGTCAGGTTCCAGGCCTGTGCTACAGAGAGTGGAAGTGGCGCCTAAGAGCAGGCAGGGTGAGACTGCGGAAAACAGAAAGAAGAACCAATGATGGTCAGCAGTTGGATGGCCAAGATGGAGCCATCAGTTTCTCCATCTGTGACCTTGAGCTTTCATGCCAGTTACCCTATTTATCCTTAGAAGAGCCCAGGAGGCAGGTATTGTTACTAACCCATATTGCAGATAAGCACATTGAGGCCTAGAAAGATTAAACTGAAGCCTGGTCTGGGAAGAGTTAGGACTTCCCCACACCAAAGCACGAACCCTCCATCCTAGCTTGGGCCTGGCCAGCCCAGCTGTTGGCCAGCCTGTCCCCATTCCCACGCCTCATGGCTTCCGGAGGTCAGCAGCTGGGGGTGGAGGTGGTCCAGTCCTCAGAGCCCCTGGGGACTGGGAAGGCAGGGGGCCCAGGCAAGCTTTCCTGGGAAGGCTGAACCCTGGATGCCAAATCCTCATGGCAACTGGATACAAACACAGGCCAGTGGGTGGTTGGAAGAGGGCTTGGGACCCTGCCTCTCCTATTCTCATTGCCACGCTCAGGGAGTGCTGGCAGTGGGTGGGGACCCTCCTGCCACACCACCATACACCTGCTCTGCTGCAGGGCACTGACCTGTGTAAAGGCAGCGGCAGCTGTCCTGGGCAGTAGGTGTCATGCCTATCCCTGCATCACAGAGGAGGTACACAGGAGACTTTCTCAAGCTTCCCAGCTGTGCCAGTTGAGGCAGGACTGGCCCTGGGGTGCCCAGACTCCAGGGCCTTGTGTCCTTGCCTTGCTTAGGATTTGGGACCAATTCTGTACCATCCATCTGCAAGTGAACTGAGGGATGCTTACTTGTAGGATCCAGTGCTTGTCTGCTTTTACAGAGGGGAGAGCTGAGGGGTGAGGGAGATCCCAAGGGACAACTGTGAGAAAAGGAGAGTTCTGAGTGGGGACCAGCTGGTGACACTTAAATTTCTCCAGCTGGGTAGATCCTGGCTCCTTTTCTATCTTGGAGCCCAGGGACCTTAGGATTCATTTTTTTATCCCCCTCTGTTGGGCCCAGAAGGGGTGATGAGTCCACATTGGAGAAGGGAAAAGATGGGGGAAGCCAGGTGCAGTGGTGCACACCTGCAGTCCCAGCTGCTGAGGCAGGAGGTAGGAGGATCATGAGTTAGAGGCCAGCCTAGGCAACATAGAAGATCCTGCCTCTAGAAAAAGAAAGAAAGGGGAGGATTTCCTTGAGGCCCCAGTCTGCCTGGCTTTTGATCCCTGGCCCTCTGTGCCTCTGCTTAGGTGAGCTCCTCCGCACCTCTCCCCAAAGGATCAGCCGAGGCAGAGGTTGGGCACAGGCCTTGCCCGGGGCCTCTGTCTTTGCACCTGTGCAGTCAGCTCGCAGTGGCTGGGCTCTGTCCTGGGTCCTCCAGATCCGCCTGGGCTCTGGCAGGCAGCCTCCCCACCCCAACCAAGCAGGAATGCAGGAGGGGCGCCTCTCCGGAGCCGTTGCCCCCAAACATAGGCTTGTTTTAGAGACGGCGTTGCTGTTGCAGTATCCTCTCTACATTAGTCAGGACGCTTCAGTCTCCACGGAAACGGCTGCCGAGCCGCGAGCGGCGACAGCTGTCCGGGTGCTCCCCTCTGCTTAAGGCCCTGGCCCTGCCCCTTGCCCTCTGTACCACACCCTGCGCAGCCTGCTTTTCCTGGCCTTTGTTTTCATTTCCTCACCTGCAGTTCTCACCGGTGTAGCTGGGACATGTCCCGAGTGCTGGGGTGCAGGACTGCGCTCTCCGGCTACCTCCCCGCCTCAAGGTTCCTTTGTTTTTCCGGGTTGGGTTTGCTGCCCCCAGGGTCGTTGTCAGGACCCGAGACTAGTACTGCCTGGGGGCCGGAGAGGCTATTTGTTCCAGTGCTTCCTGCCTTCCCTTTCTGGATAGGGGCAGTGGAGACCGGCCCCTTCTCAGTAGCTGGGGTTGTGGCCAGTCCTGTGAGAGTGAGGTCCAGAAATGGGTGTTTTAAGCCTCACTCTGCAGAGGGGTTTTTCCTGCACAACTGAGAAGGAAGAAGACAGCCCTAGACTGCAGTGAGGCTTTCAGACCTCCCTCTGAGAAAACTTCCAGACTGGGCTGGGCTCAGGATTCAGGAGGCTCTGGATCTGCCTTCCAGTCTCCCTCGCCCCCACCTTCCCCAGGAGATGGAGTTCTACATGAGGACCTTCAGCCATGTGCGCCCAGAGCCCCCCGGCCAGGCCAGGCCAGCAACAGTAAATGCTAAGTGAGTGCCAGCTGGGCATCTCCCATTAGCATGATGGGGCCATGAGAGGTGGGAGTAAGAGGGTAGGCCAAGGCCAAGGCGTGGGTCTCTTCCCTCCCTGTCCTCCGCTAGGAAGGGACTTCTAACAGGAAGGGATTTGGGGAACAGCACTGAGTTTGTCCTGCTTTGCCCTCAGTCCCTCCCGATTTCTTGCCACTCAAGACCAAGTGGAACCTCCACGGCCCTCCTCCCCCGACACTCTAGCCCTGCCTCCTGCCATCCGACCCCAGGTAGGAGGGACTGGGCTTGGCCCTGTGGCAGTGCAGGGAGACGGGAAGGAAGCCTGTACCATGTTGATGCCTCTCCTGCTTTTGGCATTGTGGAGTTAGGGAAAGTGACGTTCAGTCTCCCCCTCTGTCTCTGCAGAAAAAAAGGAAGCGACGCAGGTATAAGATGCAGAGGTCTGGGATCTTGGATCGGGAGTCCCCGCTGCCCAAGTTGCGGGGTGAGCATTCCTCCCTGTCCGGGTCCTACTCAGGGAGCTCAGAGGGAGAGAAAGGCAGAGGCCAGAGCCGAAACCCCTTGTGTCTCATTCCTTCCACCGTGCAGGCCCCCGGGTCCCCGACCGGCACTCCAGCTCGTCGACAGACAGCTCCAGTGCCAGCCCGGTGCACGCCGCTGGCCCGGCAGGCCCCTACCACTCTGCATCAGCCGAGTCCATGGACGAGATTCCAGTGGCGCAGACGCGCCTGGGCAGCGCCGCCCTGGCCGCCCCTGTGGGGAGAGCCCGAGAGGTCGGGCGGGCGCTGCAGGCGCGTGCGCCCGCCGTGTTCGTGAGCCCGAGTAGCGGCGAACCTGGGACGCCGGGTGGCGAGGAGGGTGGCCGGCCTTAGCTGTGCGGAGAGACAGGAGGGCCGAGGAGGAGCGGCCGGCCGCACTCTATGCAACACCCCACCCGCGCCACACCGAGTGCACTTTAGGGGCCCCACGGCCGGCGGGATCGACCGCCCTCCCCCACGACTGAGCAATATCCACCCCACCGGCCGTGATGCTACAATAAACTTTTTTATGCTTTTGCCGATTTGGTGCTTGCTTTCTTAATGGCAAGGGCCGTGGGCCCTCTGGAAGCTGGACCATTGCCAGTCCTGCCTGGGGCAGGGTGAGGTGGGTCCTCGTTCAGTAGGGGGCTGCCTGGATAGTCTCACGAAGGTGCGCCCGATGGGGCTCATGGTTGGGAAAAGCCCTGGAAGGCTTCCTGAAGGAGGCTGCTTTTCTTAATAGGATTTGCACCTGGAGCACTGAGGGGGAAACAGGTTTGGGGCTCCGGAAGCGATGGAGGCTGCGTGCAAGGTGGAAATGAACGCAAGACGCCGACTCGGGGGCCCAGAGTTTTCTCTCAAAGCGCGGTCGCGCGGTCGCCGTCGGGGCACAGGCACTCTAGGGCTGGGCAAGTGTGCGTCATTCATTGTCCGCTTCCTCCCGCATTGGTCCGAATCTGAACTCTGCCGGGAGAACGCGGGAGTTTTGCCTGGGGATACCACACATTCAGCGGATGGCTGTGGTCCTGAGCCAGCTGTCATCGAGGGAAGGGACATTTATGGTCTCCGGTTGTCTCGGGGAGGCTAGATCTCTCCGGGAGGTTGGGGGCCCGCTTGAACTCTGGGCGGAGCCTGGGGTGGGAGCCTTTTCCCCTTTGGGGCCACCCGAAGAAGCCAGAAGTCGAGAAGCACAACACGCGGCTCTAGCCGCGCAGAGCGCGGGGTAAAGCTGCGGAGGGAGCCCGCCGGGCGCAGAGGGCGGGGCTTGGTGGGCGGGGCCAGCCTGACCTTGGTCACTCTCCCGCCGAGACAGCCTCGGGGGCGGGACTCGCGGTCTCTATAGAGACTGAGAAACAGGGGATAATACTGCGGAGCCGCCCTGGCTGCAGTCCCGCCCCGGAGCCGGCAGGGAGCGGAGCTGCGGAGCTGCCTGTTCTGCCGCATCCGTCCGTCCGTTCCTGTCTTTCTGTCCATCTGAGCGCGCGCTGCAGGAGCAGCCACGAGATTGAAGCCGGTAGGAGACCCGGACGCAGACCACCCTGATCAGTATCCTGCACAAATAGGGGTGGGTGGGAGCGGCCTGAAAGAGGTCCCAACCCCGGATGGTACAGAGCCCAGGACACCAGCTGAGCGGCCCTGCCACCGCCCCAAGCATTCCACCCTACTCCCCGGCCCCCACCTCCCTGCTCGGTTGATTGATGACTCCAGCTGTCCCAGCAGGAGCGGAGGGGTGGCCTCGGTTGCACCGTCCCTGGCCTGCAGACCCCCTGGCTGCTTCCTGTGACTCTGTTCCACCTGAACAGCCCAGAGATTACCAAGAATCCATCTTCCCGCAGACAGGCGTGAGCGCTGGCCCCCGGAGTCTCCCAGTCCCTTGAGACTAGCATCCCGTGGTACCCAAGCTCCCTTGGACAATATTATGCTTGGTAAACTGAGTGTAGGGCGTTGGGCCCTCGGTGGGAGGTTGCGCCTAGGGAGAGGGGAGGGGAGTGCAGTGCCAGCTAGGACTGTAGTCCCACAGAAGTCCCTGCAACTTAGGGATGGGTGAGAGTGGTGACCAGGGAGGGGCTTTTAGTGTCAAGGCCTGTGGTAGTGCAAGAGGGGGAGCTAGGCTGGGGCTCAGGCTGTGGTCACTGGAGGCTTTCCTATAAGAGCCAGAAAGAAAGATGGTGGCTGAGAAAGGGTGTGGTCAGGAGGCTGCAGTGTGAGTGTGTGGTCACTGGTCCCAAAATGCCAGTGTGTAGGTTGTGTACTGGGGGCTTCAGTACAAGGCTGAGTGTGGTCAGAGGGTGTGGGTGTGTGGACAGAGTGAGGTGCTGAGGGTGTGGTCAGGCTGTGATAACGGTTGCAGTTATGTGAGGGGCTGCATCGCTGGGTCTCGCTAGGGGGTCTCAGTAAGGGCTGTAGGATATGGATGGGGAGGCTGCAGTGGGCTGCAGCTGTGTGATCAGGGAGCCTTCAGTGTCAGGCTGTGCCCTGGCTGAGGGTGTGGTCAGGGGGCTGAACTGGAGGCCTATAGGAATGGGGCATTTTCCTGCAGGGCTGAGGGTATTATTGGAGGATCTCAGTGCAGTCTGCTAGAGTCTGTGTTGGGGTGGAAGCTGAGGGAAGGGTCAGCCCTTGGTCCCAGGGCTGTGAGTGTGGATGGGGGAGCCACAGTGCAGGACTGTGGGTGTGGCTAGGGGTACAAGGCCCAGTGTGTGGAGGGCTGGGGCTGTGTGCATATGGGCCGTGGGAATGCGGACTCATGTGGTCATGCTCAGGGTGTGGTAGGGGACCTCAGTAGAGGGCTGAGGTGTAGACAGAGGGACGTGTGCTTCGGTGGAGGATCACAGCACCAAGGCCACGGTCCCACTTTCCAGACCGCCTCTTGGGGTTGGTTACTCACTCTACAACCTCCACTCAGGCTACCCCAGATCTCCTGCTCCTCCTAAACTCCATAGACTGGGTCGCTGCAGACCCAATACGTGGCAAGGGGCCAGGAAGCCACAGTTGTGCCGTAGGCGCAGGGAGTGCTGGGGTGCCCCACCCATGGGCCCCTGCTCCCCAGCCCAGCCCAGCCCAGCCCAGCAGCACTAGGAGCTTCTCCCTGAGCCGCCCTGACACCATCCTGCCCTTAGCAACATTCTCCAAGCAGCACCACCCTCCCTTAGCAACTGTCTCCAGGCTTCACAAACTGTGGCCAGGCCAGCCCCAAGCTCCAGCTCCCCTCATGTTTTTGTTTAACAGCAAATAGTAACAAGGTCCCAGCTGGGCCAGCTGCACCCCTGCCTAAGGCACACACTTCTTCCTGTGCTCTGTCTCCCTTCTCAGGCCTGGCCTGGGTCTTGCTGGGTCTTCAGGACCTTTATAGACACGCTGTTCTGCTAAATACCTGCCCAACCAGCACCTAGCCCTGACCCAGCTTGGTGCAGAACTTGCAGGGAGGGGGGCCTGCTCTGCCACCCTCATTTCCACCCGAACAGGCCTCGTGCCAGGGACAGACAAAGCCATGTCCCAGCTGCTGCCCTCACAGTCCTTCTGGACAGTGCCACTCTGTTCCCAGCCTGGTATGGGCATCATGTTTTCATCTTCTAACCCTACTCAGAGCCAGGGCTGGCACTGACAGGACATTTCCTCTCAGGGCTCTTCCTCAGGGTGTGGGGCCCAGGTAGATACTCAGCATTCCTCCTCTGTCCAGGCAGCTCTAGCACCGAGTCTGAGGGTTTGCAGCAGAAGTGCTGCCTGCTCAGACCCTGCTGGTCTGGAGGTGGAGGCAAGGATGTTCTGGGCTTTGGTGGGGGGAGGGAGCTTGGCTGGAAGGTGACCGAGCTGGGTCCCCACAGGGTGGCATGGCAGAGAGCACAGATGTAGCTGGGCTGCAGGAGAGCTTCCGCAAGTTTGCCATCCATGGTGACCCCAAGGCAAGCGGGCAAGAGATGAATGGCAAAAACTGGGCCAAGCTGTGCAAGGACTGCAAGGTGGCTGATGGAAAGGCCGTGACAGGGACCGACGTTGACATCGTCTTCTCCAAAGTCAAGTGAGCCTTAGGCACACCCTGATTCTCATGTTCCCAGAGGGTGGGACGCCGGGGCTGGACCGGGGAGGACACGGAGAAGACAGAACACTCACGATGCCCATGTGCCTGGCAGGGGGAAGTCAGCTCGGGTCATCAACTATGAGGAGTTCAAGAAGGCCCTGGAAGAGCTGGCCACCAAGCGGTTCAAGGGGAAGAGCAAGGAAGAGGCCTTCGATGCTATCTGCCAGCTGGTGGCAGGCAAGGAACCAGCCAACTTGGGTGTCACTGTAAGTGCGCTGCTGGTCTCTGTTGGCCGCTGAGGGGATATAGGGAGTTCCCACTGGGGGTGGGAAGGGGCCCAGCTCTCTCACCAAGAGCCTCGGGGAACTCTTGTCTAAACAGAAAGCAAAAACAGGGGGTGCTGTGGAACGGCTGACTGACACCAGCAAGTACACTGGCTCCCACAAAGAGCGCTTCGACGAGAGTGGCAAGGGCAAGGGCATTGCCGGACGGCAGGACATCCTGGACGACAGTGGCTACGTGAGTGCCTACAAGAACGCAGGCACCTACGATGCCAAGGTGAAGAAGTGAGGCCTGAGACGGCCCCAGTGCAGCTGCCCCTGCCAGGGCCTCAGGCCTGGGGTTATGGGGTCCGTGGAGCAAGAAAGCCTGGTTCCTTCCCTGCTGGACCTGCCACCCAGAGCTTCCTGCCCAGCCCCACAGGGCCAGCCCACCAGGCCTCTGACCCAGACTTCTCTGCGTCCCCTTCCTCCTCCTCTTGCCTCCTGACTTCTGTCTAGGGACAGTCTGTGCCTGTAGCCTCACCACCCCAGCCTGACCCAGGCATGGCTGACCCCTGCCTGCTTGCCTCATATTTAAGCTACTGCTCTGGCCAAGTGCCTAATACGTACCCAGACCTCAATAAAGACACCTTTTGTACCAGTTTGGCCTGGTTGGGTAATGACGTTCATGCCCCAGTGTCCCCTTCAGTACCACCACTCCCTGCTGATCTCCTCCATCCCACTGGCTGCCCTGCCCAGAAACATGAATCCTCTTCCATTACTGCAGAGCCAGACGGCCCGAGATGGCCCCAGGGAAATGCAAAGCCTTTTAACTGGGCCCTGACCTGGAGCCTGACATCACAGCCTATCTCTCCGCCCAACAGCAGGAGGATGAGACAGCAACTTGGCCTGGGCCACACCACTGGCTCTACCACTGCCAACAGGAGCTACTAAGGCAAGAATCTCAGAAAACTCAGGACCAGGAGGACCCTGAGCAAGTACATAGTTCGACTCCCTCTTTTTTTTGTTGTTTTTTTTAGACAGGGTCTCACTATGTAGTTCAGGCTGGCCTTGAACTATGTGGCCCAGGCTGGCCTTGAACTTGCTGTGATCCTCTTGCCTCGGCCTTCCAAGTGCTGTAATTATAGATGTGCAACACCATACCTGGTTAGACCTCCCCATTTTTTTTTTTTTTTTTTGTACCGGGAATTGAATTCAGGACTTTGCACTTGCCAGGCAGGTGCTTGTGCCACTGAGCAATATCCCCGGCTGCCTTTCTCATTTTATAGCAGACGAAACCAAGGCCCAGAGAGGGAAGGGGTTTCTGCACATGAAGCCGCACCACGCCTCTTGCCTCCAGCCAGGCTCGCCTAGCACAATGAGTCTCAGCACTGATTTCCGTTTTCTTTCTTTCTTTCTTTTTTTTTTTGCAGTACCAGGGATCGAACTCACGACTTTGCACTTGCCAGGCAGGTACTTTTGCCACTGAGCTATATCCCCAGCCCCAACACTGATTTCCAAAAGTGGGGCTGGGTGGCCAGTGACAGAGCACCTGGCACTGGTCATGCTTGCTGGTGGCCAAGACTGTCCCACAGTGAAGGGGCCTCCTTGTGCTGAGTTCTTCCCATCTGTTCACCACTCAGTGTGGCAGGTGGTGCCTCTCTGGTCCTCAGGGCTTCAGGGAGTTTGCAAATCCTCTCTCTGAGGCCCTGCGTGTTGGGCCAGAGCTGTTAACAAGCCTGAGGCTTTGGTGCCAACTCCCTTCTTGCTATGACAAGGGTACTGATGGGACCTGGGTCCCAACCAGGAGAGGGCAGATCTCAGGGGTTCTAGAAAAGGCTGAGCCTTCCCGGTGGCCAAAAGTCTTGGGTACCCTTGCTAAAAAAGCCAGGCTGGCAGGGAAGGATGGCTGAGATCTGCGGGATGGAGAGAAAAACTCTATAAATATGGGAAGCCCAAGTCTGTCAGAGTGGCCCTGCCCTCTCGCCAGGCACAGAACTTCCCTGAGGACCATCTCCACCCCAAACCTGTCTTCTCTCTCCTGCTAGTGCTAGGCTCAGGCGAGGCAACTCTTTTCCACTTATTTTTTTCTCACTTCAGGGATCTTTTGTCCCCCATGTTGGGTCCAGCTAGGCCCACAGGGTGACAACTTTTTGGCTCTTTCCTACCCCTACCTGCAGGACTAAGAGCCACACAGGGAAAATCAGAACTGAAGAGGAGCTGGCTTGGGCCAGGGCCAGCCACTCTCGGTGACAAAGGGAAAAGGCGCGGGCGGTGGTTCAGGCTGGGTTAGACTCTTTTCTCCTCAGGGGTGCTCTGAGCACATCTTGGGGCTGCCATTGTCGGATGTTCACACTAGAAGCAGAAAGGGCTGGGGAGGCAGGAAGAAGTGGCTTATTTCTGCCTTCCTGCTTGATGATCTGCCCAGTAGGTCTGCCTAGAAGCCTGGCCCAGGCCCTGGGCCCCTTCCTTGAAATGGGACAACTCAAGGTTGCTAGGCTACTGGCCAATATTTCCCCTTTCTAGGCAAAACTTTGGCCCTTTGGAGGTCTCTCAATGGGACAAGGACAGGTGGAAACAGTGGCAGGGTGGGTCAGAGAGGTTGTTCTCACTGTCATTTCTCACACAAGCTACCTGGTGCACACAGATCAAAGACGCTCATGGTTCTTCTGTACAGTGCCCTCTTAGGAAGCCATCTGAAATCCAGAAGTCCTGTAACTTAGACAGGTGGGGTCTTATGACTCATTTGTGTGATAATAGGTGTCCTGCCCTGCATAGCACCCGAGGCAGGGGACGGACAAATGAGTGTCTAATCCTTCCACCTCCTCTCTCTCTGACTTGATGGGCGGTGGCGAAGTAACATCACTTAGGTCAACAGTCTTTTACCCTCTATCTGGGAGAAACCCAAAGCAGAACCTACTTAGAACCACTTGCGTTGTCTTTCCTGTTCAATTGGGATTAAAGAAATGCAGGCTCCTTGGGGATGGTGGCGCACACCTCTAATCCTAGTACAATGAGGGAGAGGCAGAAGGATTGCAAGTTCAAGCCCAGCCTGGGCAACCTAGCTACCTAGGGAGATCTTACCTCAAAAAGTGGGGTGGGGGGCTGGGGATGTAGCTCAGTGTAAAGGCCCTGGGTTCAGTCACCAGTACTGAGAAAAAAACAAAGAAAAAGAAAAAGAAATGCAGGGTACTCGTATGCAGAATGGATGCTGAGCCCCAGCTGGCACGCATCTCAGTGGGCTGCCCTTGCTGCCTCCCTGCTGTCCAGCTCCTCCCCTGCCCCTACAGCTCTGTGAGTCTGTGCTTCACAGACAAAGCGCCTCAAACTCCTCTGCTGCCCTGAGCCGCAAGGAAAATCTACAAGGAGCTACACCGCTGTCAGCCTCCTCTGAGCCCCTGGGTTCCCTGAAAGCGTGGCGTCCCTGCCCGCTTCCTGGCCTGTGCTGCTTCTCTCTGTAGTTTGACCCACTGCTGTTGCCCTTGGCTCCACACTTTGCTTAGTAACCTTCTACTAATTCTCTAGTCAGCTGAATGTCCTCTGGGGACATTTTCCTGACCTCACATTTCACAGGCTAGGATGGGTCACCAGTTCCCTGCTCCCACGGTGCCATGTTCCACCTCTGTCCATGCCCCAGGAGGCCTCTCGGGGCTCTAGACCCTGAACCGGCCTGGGAAGCTTTGCACCCCTCTCCTTGTTACTCTTCTACTACACTTCTTCCACTTACCATTGGAATTGCTGTCTGTCTCTCTCTCTCAAATCTTTTTCTTTGGAGCTTTCTGTGTGTGTGTGTGTGTGTGTGTGTGCGCGCGTGCGCGCGCGCATGCATGCATGTTTTTGTTTGCATCTACTTGTGTTTGTGTGTGTTGCGGGGGACTGAACCCAAGGCCTTCTTACTGAGCTATAGCTCAAGCCCCTTTTCTCATTTTTTAAATTTTGAGACTCTCTTAAGTTGCCTGGCCTGGTTCAAACTTGGTATCCTCCTGCTTCAGCCTCCTGGAGTGCTAGGATTGCAGGTGTGGATGACCATACCCATCTTAGAGCTTCTGCGTAGACCTGTTTGGTCCCAATTCCATGCTTTAAGTGCCATCATGTGAGTCTGCGCTTTTCTCCCTAATTAAACTGTGGGCTGCTCCAGAGCAGACAGCAGACACTGTCACCTTGCTACTGTGGCAGGAGGTCTCTAAAATGTCTCTAACCAAAAGACACCTGATGGTTCTTTTCTCATTTTCTACCACCTGGTTTAAAATGACATTGGGGGAAATGTCCAGTGTTTTTTTCTTTTTGACATTTTCAGTCGAATGTTTCTGTGTGATATGATGGTTAGGACTAAGTGCCAACAATCTGTGTGGGCAGAAGGAAACAATGACTCACTGGGAGGAGATAAATCAAGAAATAAAAAGAAGGACAATACAATGTAATCAGAATAAGAATTTTCTTAATCTTGGGGAGTCAACACCACCACTTGGGGTCGGTGGCACTGAGGGCCCTCCGTGGACAGGAGGGAGGTGACTGCGAAGGTGGTGGATGCTAGCTCCACAAATTCGGCTCTGGGGCAGCTTCTGAGATACTCTGTATTAGGTACTGACCCGTGTCGTGCGCCGCTGGTGAGGAGGAAGACAGAGTGCTCTTCCCGAAGGGCGACGATCTCCCCAGGTGATGACTCTTCTCAGGAGGCAGGAGTGCTTTCCCAGAATAACCTCTTTGCTCTTTATTCAGCTGCTGCAGCAGATACTCATTAGTTACCACCAGGGATCTGAGGCCCAGGGGGGGAAAGACAGGCATGAAGTCACAAAAGCAATGTAGATGCCTTTCAAGTCTCAAAGATTTGCTAAAGATAAAGGTAAAAAATAGTATCTTTCAGCAGAACTGTCCAGTTTATGAGTGGGTTATTTTAAAAGCAAACCTACACTGTCTTCATTACAATTGTTGGTTTGCGTTCCAGACTGACGGAAGCAATTAATACATTTCACATTTGTCGGGTGGTTGTTCTACACTTTCCAGAGCACTTTTGTGATGAGGTGAGTAGAAGCACTCAAACACTGGCTCCTGATCAGGCCTCCCATTTCTACCCCAAAATCAGAACTTCTAATTATGCCACTCTCTGCAACTAACGGTGCTAGCCATGACTATGTTCTTGGATTCCACATGACTATGTAACGTTACAATCCGTCTGAATACTGGCAGAAAATGATGTATACACAGTGCTGTTCATTATATTACTATTTTGTTTGTTTTTGTTTGGTGCTGGGATGAACCTAGGGCCTTGTAGAGGCTAAGCACACACTGTACCACGGAGCCACACCTCCAGCTTCTATTAGTAATATTTTTAACAGTCAAATACTGTTAACCTAAATGGCTATAGACATTACTATAGGACTGATTAAACCGTACAATCACACAATGGAGTACTATGCAGCTATAAACAGGAGTGAGAACTAACTCTTTAGAGCACAGTGAATTGATTTCCAAGATAAAATGTGAAAACAACATTATCTTTCTTTTATATAATAAAGGGGGCATACAAATGCACATCAATAGCTACAACAGAAAGTCAGTGGGTGGGAAGGAAAGAACAGAAGAGATAGGAAAGGGTATCAGGTTTTTCTGAATTTACATTTTGCTTTGGGACAGTGCAAATATTTTACATAACTATACGAACAAGATTAAATGAAAATAATAAAACTCAGGCTGGGCATGGTGGTGCATGCCTGTAATCCTAGCATTTGGGAGGCTGAAGCAGGAGGATCATTGAGAGTTTGAGACCAGCCAGGGCCACAAAGTGAGCTCAAGGCTAGCCCAAACAGCATAGTGAGACCCTGTCTCAAAAAAACAAAAACAAAAAACTCACTAAGAACCAAAAGCAAAACGAAACGAATGAACCAATATATTGAGTCAATGGTTTAACATAATCAGAATTATTTTGAGTTAACTGTAGTAGTTAAAAATGTAGTATTTTGACTCCGCACCCCTGAAGAGAAATATGCTAATGTTTTCAGAGTGTGGTTCTCAGGCCAGCAGCAGGACCTGGAAACGTACTAGAACTGCAGATCTTCAATTCCCAAGCCATGCTGCTGAGTCAGAGATTTTGGGGGGCGGGGTGAGGGGGGCGGTGTCCAGCAATTTACACTTTTACAAGCCTTTCAGGTAATTCTGATACAGACCCAAGTTTGCAAACCATGACTTTATGCTATTCTGTTTACTTCTGTAATGCTTGAAATAATTATAACAAAAACTTTTTTAAAAGGCTCTAATCCTCTGAATATGAAGCTGTTCCAATGAAAATTAGTGGTGAAGGTTGGTGTTGAAGGCTTGGGGATGAGGTGCTTATATTTAAATGTCACTGGAAGCCCTAGTCGAGGTAGATGTGCAAATCAAAATCTCAAGGGCTTCCCTGGAATTGTCAGTGGAGGACCCTGCTCCCCATCTTTTCATTCCTGTATCCTGAGAGCACTCTTCTGTGAAGAGCGGGACGCTACTGAACACCTCTGAAGAGCCCATACATTTTGGATTCTTCCTCTATCACTCTCTTCTGAGAGCTCCTGGTGCATCTTCTGTGACCAACAGCACGCAGGCATTTTTCAGAGGACATAGATGGCTGATTTTAGGGGTACATGTGACCACAGTGTTAGCTGGCCCCAATAAAGATCCTCTCAAAGCCAAGGTGAAACTATTGAAGTGTTGCAACCCATGGAAGACAGCCCCAGGTACGTAAAAGCAACCCAGCAAAGACAGTCCCTGATGTATAAACGCAGTCGTGGGAGCAGTATTTTGAGCCCTGTGCTAATTGGTCAGGTACAGGAAGGAGGTTTACATACACGCTGCAGTTAATTTGCAAAGAATATAGGTGTATCAACTTTCTAAGCAAAGCAAAGGAGAGAGAACACAAAATAAACACCTGTTCCAAAAACCCGCTAGTCAGACCCTCTCCTACCTTTGACTTTCGTGAAGAAGGGCAACGGTCTCCTCCAGCTTTTTCAGCTGGGCAAGCTCCTGGTTCAGGCAAGCCACCTGCATGGTCAGCTGTTGGTTTTTGTGTAGAAGATCCTCTACAAAGGGTACAGTAGCCAGAAGTGAGCAGGATTACAAGCTACTTGTCTTTGAGCAGAGTTTCCATACAGTATTCAGACGGACACCTTGAGAATCAAGGGCCCCATGGTTACATCACATTCACCATTCCCTTCCTTGAAGACAGGAGTCGTAGTGACAAGAGCATGGGGTTTGGCAACAGATCTGAATTAAAATCCAACCACTTCATATCACATATGTTAGTTCATCTTTCTGAGTTTCACTGAGGCTAGTAGCCCTTTCCCACAGCACCACTACGAGGATTCAGTGAGTCACCCGTCCTCCCTTAGCACAGGCAGCCAGCAGGTATTAGGGCTCCTACATTCTCCATTCTGGCTTGTGAATGTCAAGCCCTTCACTTCCCACATACTTTGTGAAAACACCTAGAACTGTGTCAAGTACATAGTAATAACTCAGTGAGGGCCTGTAGAAACAGTTTGTGGTCAAGGCATTACTATCTACCTCCCCAAATACGCTACCACTGCCTCCAATAATGAGGTAGGTAAAAAGCACAGGAACTCTGGTCCTAAGGGAGGTGGTCTGCTGGAATAATGCGTGCTGTGTGTGTGTGTGTGTGTGTGTGTGTGTGTGTGTGTGTGTGTTGCATGCATTATTGGGGACTGAACCCAAGGTTTCACACACACTAGGCAAGTCCTGTACCACTGAGTGAGCTACATCCTAGCCTTAGAATAATGCCTCTTAAGCATTAATATGCTTACAAATCTCCTGGGAATCTTGTTAAAAATCAGTAGGTTTGAGGCTATTTGAACTAGCTCTCAGCTGATGCTAATGTGGGTCATATTTTAAGCAGCAAGGTTCTGGAAGGTGGAAAACAGGGCTGCAACAGTTGTACCTGTTACCAGTAAGTCAAAACACTGACCTGAGCCCTAAGGCTGATTGACAGTAAGGATATTGTGGACACTTATTTTCAGAGTAGGTAAATATAGACTAATGGTTTTTGATTATTCAAGCTTGTGGCTATCAGCACTGAGATCTAACAGTGGAAATTTAATGCTTCTAAATCAAGTTCCTTTTATCAATCCAAATCCCTGCAACAGTTTTCTCAGGGGAGCTGAGTTAGGGGTTTAAAATGCCAAGCAGACTGTATCTAAATATGGCCTATCCCAGTAATAATATAGTATAAATCATGACTTAAGCTGGATTTGGTGGCACAGAACTTGGGAGGCTGAGGGAGGAGGATCGCCATGAGTTTAAGGTCAGCCTGAACTACATTGCCAAGACCCGGTCTCAGAGAGGGGTTGGGAGGAAGTGAGAGAAAAATTAAATGGCATATTATGTTTTCACTTACACAACGGCAAAAAATTGAAAAATACTGTTTACAAAAGTGGAGTGAAAAGGGTATCCAAGCACACTGCTGATGTTAGTGTAAGCTGAAACCACCTTTCTTGGGAGTGATTTGATGATGTGTAATAAAAGTCTTAAAAAAGATCCACATCCTTTGACCCATTAATTATACTTCTAGGAACATTTCCTATGAAAACAGCCTGGAATGTACATAAGAATATAAGTGTGCAAATATTGACAGTAGCATTATTTATCATAGTACAACTGTTAGGACTTGGCTCAATCAGTAGGGAAGAAAGATGATTTCAAAGAAGCGTTTTTATTCAAGGGTTACTTCTCTCACTTTAGGTCTTTCTTTTGAACATTTGGAAATTCTTTAGAATTACTTATATGCTTTCTATATTACTATATTTATAATAATCAATATTATAAATAATGGCAACTTTATCATAGCAAACATTAGGAACAATTATACAGTAGACTATAGTGATAAACATGGTATATTCATGTGATACTATAGGACTTGCCAATGCCATTAAGTTAGGAACATTAGGATGTAGAAACCAGAACTGTGATTGCCTGTGTTGGAGAGTGGGGGAAACCAATGACACAAGAATATGAGGAAACTTTCTGAAGAAACAGAAATGTTCTGTGTTTTGATTAGTATCAAATTTAAAATGTGAATTTTGTTGTATGTAAATTGTTTCTTAAAAACCAGGCCATAATTTTAAATTCTGAGTTAATCATATCTGTATAGATTAAGCTGGAAGAAAACAACCAAAACACTAACAGTAGTTATTGCTAGGTCTTAGGGTTATATTTTGCTTATATTTTTCAAACTTCCAGCAGAAAACATATTCCACTGTCATAATCACAAAAAGCAAGTATCATTCTCAAAAATAATGGCAAGCTGGGTGTGGTGGCACATTCTTGTAATCCCAGCATTTGGGAGGCTGAGGCAGGAGGATCACTGTAAATTTGAGGCCAGCCTGTGATACATATTGAGTTCAAGGCAAGCCTGAACTACATAATGAAGCCCTGTCCTGAAAAACCAAACTAAACCAAACCAAACAGAACAAAAATAACGGCAATGATGACATTTCCACTTTTTTGCTGACAAAGACCTTCATCTGGTAATTCAAGCTACCTGCATTACAGTTCTCTGGCAAGATGATTGTTTCCATTAACTCCCAGGGTAGGTAATGACCAAGTAAGCCAAAACAGCCATGTGAGCTTTGGCTGGTGAAGCTTATTAAACAAGTCATCCATAGACAGTTGTCTTGAGAAGTCCCACACTTGGCTTTCCCATACTTACCATAAGTATGGGACTGGTGCCCACTCATAATTGAGGTAGCTGCACCTTCCTCCAAATGCTGAACTTTTTCTGACAAAAAGAGGTTTTCTTCCAGCACTCTGACCAGTTTTTGCTTCAAACTTTCCTTTAGATCAGAAAATGAAACATCAGTACATCAAGAATCTGAAATCCCAAAAAGACCATGTATAGGACTGAAGGAAACTTTCCTCTAATTGGTGATAAACTGAATGAAAGAGTCGGGTGTGGTGGTGCACACCTGTAATGCCAGCACTCAGGAGGCTGAGGTAGAAGGACCAGTGTGAGTTTGAGGCCAGCATGGACTATATAGTGAGTCCAAGGCCAGCCTGAACTACATAGTGAGACCCTGTCTCAAAAACCAAACCAAAAAAACCAAAAAGAACAAAACAACTGGATGAAAGCCAGCATTTGTATGATGTTCTCACTATACTTTTAATTCACTGGTAAAACTGCTCAAATGGAGCAGACAAATTTCTCACTTGAAGTCATGATCTTTCCTACGGGTGTTCATAACTTGTGCTGAGCATTTGCAATCATCTACAGTATCTAGTTTCTAGAACTCAGTGTCTGAAAGTCAGCTAGCATTAACCAAAGACAGAAAAGCCTAGGACCAAGCTCCTTCTTTCTTTCTTTCCAAGAGCCAGAAGCCCGATGCCCTAGCATGGCCCTGGTTCTGTACTCTCAACACCATCAGAAAGAAGGAAGACAAATGTAGAGACACTGGCTTTCCCTCATTAGGGCCACAGCATAACCACACCATAACATCCAAGAATGTGACCCTACACATTTTCACTCTAGGATTTTTTTTTTTCCTTCTCTTTCTTCTTCCCATTTCATGTCTTTCTTTAGAATTCTTAGATTAAGACTAGGATAAGGGAATCATCTCTGCAGAACCTCCAAACTGTCCTTGTCCTGGCAAGTTCTGTGTTCCTGACCTGTCCAGTCTGACTGTCCCATATTTTGGCTGTGGAGTGTCTAGGAACTCATGGTGATGATGATCTTCAGGGCCCAGAGATGTTTTAGTCCTGCTTCTCTGTCTTTTTCTAGTAGAGGAAGAAGAAAGGCGAGCCATACCATGTCATTAGGGATTGGCTGGCCAGCCTCCTTCAGGTCGCTCTCCCTCCTGTGGAAAGCTTTCGGTGTGTCTTCAGGATGTGAGCGACACCGCTGCTGAGGAGGAGCGGGAACGACCAAAGACAGAAGCAAATCCCGGGCAAGACCTGCCAAAAATTCAGGTTGGGCACATGGGCCAATTTTAAACACTAAAACACAGTCTTCCTAGTCAATAACTATCTGATAATTATCTCCTTTTTACAAGACTTTATTAAATGGATAGAAGAAGTGCTTATGAGGGATGAGAAATTATATCCCACATCCTCTGTGGGAAAACAGCAGTAGGGCTCCTGAGTAGGGCAGTCAGGGTCACTGTTTAGTGGCTCCAGAGGCTAATTTCCTACGAGAGGAGAGCAATAGGTCAACATGGGAAGGAAAATAACTGGGCTCTAATATCTTTTCCTCTTTGTCCCTTTAGTGTTTTTTGTTTTGCTTTGTTTGTTCATCTCTGGTGCTAGGCATTGAATTTAGGGTCTCTCCCATGTTAGGAAACCACCCAGCCCTTAGAGATTTTTTTTTTTTACAAAATATTTTTTTTTCTAGTTCAAAAAAGTTTCAGGTTTTTACTTTAACTTTTACCACCAAGTAAAATTTCCTTAAATTCTTTTTCCGTTAAAAACAAGTAAACACATACAGCTGACATTTGAAAAACTGCTTTTCTTCATGTTTCTAAAAAATACTCCCTGAAGAGTCCAGGTCATGCATGTATTTGAGTTTTTCAAATCATAACATTTCAACAGTCATCTCAGAACTCTGATAATCAAACCTAGTATCTGTTGTATTCATTATTGGCACTTTCCAAGGATCATAAACTCCTTTTGTAATTATCAGCATGACCACTCTATTACATG